TTGTGTAATAATTTCTGAATATGAGAGTAACATGCACTGGCACACGTATGTTGCTATAAACTTAGTCCTTATGTCTTGTGTCTTTTTCATATCTCTTCACTTTTATTGGCCTAGTGCCTTTGGCCTTTATACAACATGCACACCTGCACTGATTCTCACATGGCTGGCACTTTAGTTCTTTGGCTAAGTCCCCTAAATAACAAACTGTATCTGGGTCTCTGGATCCATTCTTCAGTGTCATTTGGTTACACAAGGTTTGTGATTGAAACTCTTTGAAGTTCTTGCTTTACTTTCTGCCTAGGTTAACTCAGAAGGTCTTATTTTTCCAGAGAACACCTTTCGTAAGGAATCCTCCATTCTCACTTACATAATATCCTTTCTCTGTGACATTTTAGTGAGAACAGACTCGACTTATAAGGCACTTTAGCTGATAAATTAAGCACCTTTCCTTTGTCTCATGTGCAATAACATTTTAAAGCACTTCTCCTAGCCAAGGTGATCATTTGTTCATTGACCAAGTACCGTAAATGGTAAATTGATGTTCATACAATTCAATTAACCCTATTATTTAAAATGAAATTAGAAATGCCAGTAGAATGAAAACAGATGCCATCTGCCGGCCCATGTATATTCTCGTATTATTATCCTCTCTAGCCTTTTTTTTTCATTGGGATGAGGTGAGTCTTTACCTTGGAATATAGTCTAACAGGTATTTCTTGTCTCCCTTTCCTAGGGTAACTGGTTTGCAAATGACCCTAGCCACTGCAAATAAAGCATTTCCTTTCTTTTTGCCAGGCTTTGTAAGTGAACTGTTAACTGTTATTGGCATTCTCTCTTGATAGTTATGCAGATTATAGTCTTGCAGGTGTTTTATTATGAAATTAGTATTCATTTCTTCTTCCATTCCTATTGTATCTTACCTCAGCCTAGTAACTTCTGGCAATGAATTTAAAATGAAAACAGTTCTTACTTTGTAAGCATCTTTTTTCCTTTCAATCTAATTTGTTATATCTTTTTAAATTTAGATTCCCCCTCCTTCAGACAATTTGCCTGCTGAATTTTCTGAAAAGATGCACTTTGCATACTGTCAATCTTATTTTTGGGTGTGTGTATGTTTAAACATTTCTCCAAATGTCTTTGGCTAATCTAGAGCTTTCAAATGCACAGTAGATGGCTATTTCCCATCCAGCAATCATCCAACTGCTTTATCACTTGCAACATCCCAAGTTTCTTGACTTTTCCCTACTTCTGCATTTTTTGTTTTGTCAGCCCAAAGGTGATTCCTTGAGACTTTAATAGCATTCCTCTCTTGAATGGCTAGAAGGAGAATTCCGGTCCTTCCAACTTCCCTCTGGCTGAAGTCAGGGAACATGTGTTTTATCTGTGTGTTTCCCAACTCAATCAGTATGCTTGGAGGTGCCAGTGGATTGGGAGTGTCAGGTGCTGAAGCGCCCTCTGCTTATCCAATGTGATGCTATCAGGCCCCTCCTCTCATAGAGCCTCCCCAACTATCACACCCACCAGACAGAAGGGCAGGGTTGTGTTCATAAAACTTTGCAGTCACCTTGGGGCCAACCACAATGGCAGAATAGTTTACCCAGGTGAATTCCAGTCCAACCCAGAGCAGTCCAAGACATTTCCATTTGAGGTGCACAATGCAGTCTTAGATCACTATAGTTACTTTAATGTGCCCCTGGAGGAATTGCAAAAGGAGGTGTTACACCTGGCTGGACATTTTAGCTTGCATCTGATCAAGTGAGATTTCTGGTGGCCACAAATTAAGGTCGAGATGTGCTGGTATGTTGTAACTATTCGTGCTGTCTACCACCAAGTTAAAGGTGTTCTGAACAAACTACCAGCCTCCTGCAACTCCTGCAGTGTTCCAATATTTGAGGGGCTAGAGCAGTGGTTCTCAACCTTTTTAATGCCGTGACCCCAACCGGTCGTAAGTCGAGGACTAAACCGGTCGTAAGTCGAGGACTAAACCGGTCGTAAGTCGAGGACTACCCAACCTGTCGTAAGTCGAGGACTTTCCCTGCCCGGGAGCGCTGTGCATGTGTGGTTCCGCCCCCTGCGCCGGCCGAGGCGTAGCTGGCAAGCGGCAGAGACGGAGCAGGCCGACCACCAGCTGGCCCAGCCCAAGGGAGGTAAGGCACCCGCTGGAAAAGGGGGAAAAAATGGCAGACAAAAAAAATGGCGGACAGCCTTGCTTGGCGACCCCCATGAAATGGTCAATCGACCCCAAATGGGGTCCCGACCCACAGGTTGAGAACCACTGGGCTAGAGGGAAGGAGGGAGGGAGTCAACCTATTTTCCAAAGCACCTGAATGCCAGACAAAGACTAAGGGATGGAAACTGATCAAGGAGAGATTCAACCTAGAAAAAAAAATTAAAAAAAATTCTATCAGCATCCAAAATTCCCTGGAAAAAACTTTCTATGGACTTTATTACAAATTCCAGGGCATCTTCCTTCTTTCTAGCAGCATGTTAATTGGAAAGAAAATAATTGTGCCTCATATTTTCCAAACATATTCTGATAAACTAAACCGTGGGATCTTTAAATGAACATTTCAAGAAAGGCAAACAATGTTGACAGCAAACAGGTCCAGCTGTGGTCTACTGGTATATCCATGTTGTTTGTCTTTATTTCAAACCAAATTCTGTAGTCAACAACTAGCTGGGCATATACATAATTACTGATGCTTATTTTATTACTTTAATTTTAAAATGCAATACAGTAGTACTGATCCACAAACAAGACATATGGTCATATAACAGCAGTGGGTGAAGTGTAAGAAACTGTAATGAAATCTAAGATCTAAATTTATATAGTCGCACCTGGTAATATTACATCCTTAAATGGAAAAGTGTTTTTCTGTATGTGTGATTATGGAGAAAGCTCATTTCAAAGTGCCTCCATGCATTCTCACAGTTCTATTATTTCTATTATACAAAATATCCAGGAAATGCAAACTAACAGAATTCATAGTCTCTTGTCCTCTGCCATTTGGAGTGATGTGTCCAATAATCTCCAAAATTCTGAAACTATATTAGCCTTCTGATTTCCTTAGTACTGCAAGCACAAGGATGATTTTAGCGCTAGCCCCTGTATTTTAGATTCCAAATTCAGATTTTCATCCAAGCCTTTGCTTTATGCAGGATAAAGAAATCACAATTGTACCAAGACAGCATATTCAATTTACACCAAAGGTCTGGAAACATACCAAGACTTCTTCCCGCCAAAACTGATTAAATATTTTCCAACAAAATCCTTTCTGCTTCACTCACACAGTTAACATCATATTGTGCAGTTGTTCTAGTTATGCATCCTGTCTCCCACATACTTCCGTACCTACAATAGCTGTTACTGTTACTATGGCATCAAAACGGCCATCCATAACTTATGCAATCCCCTTACCCCAAATGAAAAGGATTCTCTAATATTAGAAACAAAGCTGGACATAACGTGGTCTGGTGAAGCTGGTGAAGGTTCCTCAGCCCTAGAACAAGCTTTAAAACTAGGTGAATTTACTATGCTAAATGTAACACGGAATGTAGAGCTTTGTGCCTTCTACCTCTTTATCAGCCATAGTAATCACACACATTAGAAATCCAGCTGCAGAAAAATATGCAAGAAAGGATTTACAATACACTGAACATAAGACAAGGGGGAAAATCGTTTTAGTAATGGACTGCTTAAAAATAAAACTCTGAAAATTTATTATTTACAAAATTTATAAAAAATTGACACCATAACCAATAATCCCTTTTTTCCATTCATTCAGTGTCTCAATTTATGCAAATTTGCTTTATGCCAGGTTTTTGAGACACATAAACCTAGCATAAAGCAAATAAAACCTGTATATGTTCACCTTTGCCTTTTTTTAGATTTCCAACTCTGCATTTCAGCCTAGGGCTAAACATTATCTTACCATGCCAATTGATATTTCAAATGGTATCACAACACAGTCACCCTTTATCAGCAAGCATAAATGGGTCACTATGTACCCATGTTGGTAGATAGTTGGATCTTTGCCCTCAGTTACAATCGCACCTGCTTGGTGAAGTTTTTCACACAGAGGCATCAATGTTCTGAACAACAAAACGTGCCACTTCATAATTTAGAAACTGAATAGAAATAATGCCCTGACCAAAAACTCTCCTTGATTAACTATTCGTTTCCAACAGAAGCTATTTCTGATCAGATTCTTCTTATCTTGGGACATATGATAAAGTAGGATTTTTGCACCCATAAAGCACTTTCAGTTCAGCAGTGCTAAAGGGACCAAACCTATCTTACAAGATACAATCACTTAGCTAGCCTACAACTACTGTGTCCAAGGAAAGGTATTTTTCTTTGGTCTGTGGCCAAAAAGAAAAAGGTAGAAAAATAAAATATTTGATATCCTACTGACATCTCTAAGCAAAACAGACAATCTTCAATGATTCCCCCCACCAAGTTCCTTTTGCCAAATGCTATTTTCTACTTAACTTTAAAAAAAAAGAATTCACAACTTGTATTACCTTTGACTATTATCTTTATTTATAATAATGCTTTTAGGCTCCTTGGAATCCTGCAGGTATTCTTAGACAATAAATATGTTGAGAAATTGTAACTGAGTGGTTCATTTGCAAGTATGCCCACATAACTAGAAAAGAATGTCAAAACTATCCGGAAAAGTTTTCTGAGAAGTTGGAGATAGCAACCATGCCAGTTTGCCATCTAAAAAAATGGCAACTCTCCAATGCCCCTTGTGGCAGCCATTTTGTGAATAGGCAAACTCTATCAAGAAACCTTAAGAAAGTTACTTTGACTCCTTTAGCCCAAGTCAGTCATTCTCCAAACAGTTGAATCGGGTAGGAGCTTGACTTCTCTGCTATATTGACAAAAATCTAGAAAGGCTCCACAAAAACGGACACTTTCTATTCATTCTGTCTCTGTGCCCATTTTGGAGCCATAAAAGGAGTGAAATGGGGGCAAAAATGGCTAAGGAATGACAATGCCTCCCAATTCGGGAAGTGCCAACCAGTTTCTCAAAGGTAGGTAGATAGATAGGTAAGTAAATCCTGTCAAGAGTAGGAAGAAAAGTGCAGGCCTCCCAGCCCATTTTGAAATAGCTGGGAGGACTGTAAACATGCCATTGGATGACTAATTGGCATATCACTGGCTGTGTATGGAATGGAAGAAAGTAGGGATGAAGATAATCCTGAATATATTTCTTTGTGAGCTCAATTTGAGAGTTATTATGTAATACCTTTAAAATTCTGGTAAGGATTTGATTCTAACCGTAATAAGTATCCATTTATTTACTTAGTATCCCATCTTTATTGTTTTTACAAATAACTCATGGCAACGAACATATCCACCACACTTTCCTTCTCCTATTTTCCCTACAACAACAACCTTGTGAGATGGGTTGGACTGAGACAGAAGGATTGGCCCATAGTCACAGAGCTGGTTTTAAAGCAGGACTTGAACTCAAGGTCTCCTGCTTGCTAGCCTGCTGCCTAAACCACTACACCAAACATTTCCAGCACTTGAGACAGCCCAACATAATAGATATTATTTATACCATTTACTTTGGTATAAAAATTCAATATTTTTTTAAAAAAAACTTTGGATAACCTTGCAAGGGAAACATGGCCACTAAATCTTATCCTGAGGGTCAAAGCAAGTACTTCTACTTACATCGGGGGTGTCAAACTTGCAACGTCACATGACGTGTCACAACGTATCGCGACTTTTTTTCCATTGCCAGCAATGGGGTGGGCGCGGTTTCAGCATGACACATCCGGCCCACGGGCCAGCAGTTTGACACCCCTGACTTACATGCAAGCCAGCTGATTTTCTACGATGCATTAAAATATTTTCTTTCCCAAAGGCAAGGCAGCCCATCTGTTTGTAACTTTGAACAAGCTGATAGGAGCAAATGGTGGGAAAAACCACACCTATTGCCTGTGCTCTGCTTCAGAGCAACATGCCAGAATTTTTCTTGATCATTGCCTTGCAAGAAAGAAAGTCCTGCCAATGACCCAAAGCACACAATCTGCAAAAAGGTGTGGCTGAAGTTTTCTGTTAGATTACTAAACTCTAAAATGCATTCCAGCATATATTATTTCTTTTGGCCACAATGCATTTGTTCTTTTATAAGACAGGATCTCAAGGCAAAAAAGTACCAAGAGGGAAATCTGATTTTTGCACTATTATACTGTGCAAGAATGCAATACTGTATTGAGTAAATTATTGCTAAAGTCAAAATGACATTTTACCCTAGTCTCCCTTGGTTAGTATCTGTTACAAACTGACCTTGTGTATATAATTACTGTACTGAAAGACACATGAAGTTGTTCATCAGGTTGATATGTGTATATAAAGTTATATTACTTCCAATTTTTCTTTAATTTGATTTGTTTTCTTTTTTATAAATATTTTATTAATTTTCTAGTTTTACAGTCAAATACTTAATAGACAGCATGTTGTCTGAGTCCATTAGTAATTCAGTGGTATATATCAACTTCATGTTTCATTTATGTTTTTAACTGGAAATCTGAAGTAAACATATAAATATTCAGTCAAACATTTATTGATTCAGTTTACCAATGAGTCAAAAACTCCTATTCTTTTTTTTAAAAAAGTATTTGATCTTTAGGCAATACTGAAAATATGCATATAAATTCAAAAATATACAAACCATAGAAAAACTGTATCTGATTCTAAAGACATGTAGGAACTCTCTCACAGTTATGCAGTTATGGTACTTTGACCAGCAAAGACAAATCTCATATTTTAGAAGTCTGACAGATTTACAATGCAAAGGCTAAACACAGAAGAGTGATTGTAACAAACTAACTTAGAGATAATCCTCTATTTATGACCACAACTGAGTCCAAAATTTCTGTTAATTGAAACATTTAAGTGAGTTTTGCCTCATTTTATGACCTTTCTTGCCACAGTTAAGTGAATCACTATAGTTAAGTTAGTAACACGGTTGTTAAGTGAATCTGACTTCCCCATTGACTCTGCTTGGTAGGAGATCGCAAAAGATCATACTGGGATACTGAGACTGTCATAAATAGGAGGCGGTTGCCAAGTGTCTGAATTTTGTTATGTGACCATGCAACGGTAGTTAAGTGTGAAAAATGATCACGTCACTTTTTTCAGTGCCATTATAACTTCAAATGTCACTAAATGAACCATTGTAAGTTGAGGACTGCCTGTATTTTATTTTTTAAAAAGGTTTATGTTTAGCCAAACTCACAATCTTGCATAAGGTGGCTAGAAGGAACCATTAAAATGAATTATGCATATGCCATGCTGACTGGGAATGATGGAGGCTGCTTTTAACCCCCAGTCCTTAAAACCTTTGCTTATTTCTTTCTATTAAAGCAGAAAATTGGGCTAGGACAGAAGTTCTCAAACTGTGAGTTGAGACCTCTCAGAGTGGACATTAGCAACGTGTGTGTGTGTGAGTCACTTTTTTTAAAAAAATGATCAGCTTTGTACAGGCAGAATGGGACATTATTTCAAACTGGTTCGTCTTTGCTCCTTACTTTGTCTGCATAAGCCCCAGTGGGTACTAATGACACTGCAAAGCCTAAGAAGTCTTGTGATATATATTAATATTTAATTCTTAGAAGTGTTATACTTCTTTCTTGTCTGGACTTAAACCCAGTGGGGAAAAATTATTTGTTTGGGTTACAGAATATTCATTTATGATTTTAGGGGGTGCAAAGTTTCAACATTGCTGGGTTAGAAGATTTCAATAATTTAATAGATCCACTGCACAGGCCAATGTTAATTGGCTAAAAGAAGTACTATGCTAAAGTGCAGCTGGCTAATCGGTGTGTCATATAAACCCAGTCAATGTGGTTAGCATATTGGTCAGTTAATTAAAGAAAATGCCCTGGATTGAGCCAAATGGAAATGACTTTGCCAACCCTGCCATAGCATGGGAATAATGTTAGGAAGAAGAAGATTGCTCTGTTAATTATGGGCTAACATGTTGTGCAAATACAACCCTTGCTTTGCCTAGTAAAATATGCTGGACTAAACACAGAAGCCAAGAATATTATCTACTATTACAAATACTCTGCCCTGTGGTTCAGTAGTAGCATGATAAAAACAGGCTTCTCTGCATATTGAAGTTCTTTATATTAAAAACTTGGCACAGTGAGGCAGCTGCCACATGGAACTAATTAAAGCATCAAGTATGTTCAGAGTGGGTTGCTGTTGTAATAACTTTCACATAATAAAGCTGTCCTTATCCTGTCACAGATATGCCAGCAAATAGCGCGGTCCATACTGACAGTGTACAGGACACATTAAGGACATAGATGGGAAGGATGCCCAGCTTTTTTGCCCTCCCCTCTTAACAAATGTCATCAACCAGCGGGAGAAACATGTGCATTAAGAAAGATGCTCTCCTTAACATGGGATGGCACTAAATTTGAGAAAGAGGCAAATTTTGACCGATTGCTAACCCAGTGATTTTAAACACCACTCAACACTTGCTCTGCTTTTGTGCAAGTGTTTGTTTTGTATAGGTGAATTCAAAGGAAGCCCAATTATCAGCTAAGAGTTGGCTGCTTTTAAACACAGGTTTAGTGCTGTTCTTAAAGGGCACTAAACCATTGTTCAGAAGCAACCCAAACAACAGCTGAGGGTCATGCTATGAAAGAGCATGAAATTGTATTTTTTCTCTCTCTCGTTCAGCCCTCAGATCAGCTCTTGGTCTCTGTGCCTAACAAGTACCTAACAAGTAGAGCCCAATTTGAAACAATGGATTCTCCTGTTGCCCAAGGCCAGAATGCCTCTGGAAAACAAACTGGGAGGGGGGGGTGGCGGTGGAGGGGGGGGAGGCTATCTATACTTACTAAAGTGGCCACCTCAGATGTCACTTGTGACCCTGGTGAGTGAAACATGTGAGATTATACTCATGCAACCCACACTACTTGTTGCCTCTTTAAAAGTGAAAGCACCCCTTTTAAGCACCATTTTAACACTGGAAAAGCTAAACTCCCAAAGGTTGGGATTGAGATTAAGAGAATGGCATGCCTGCTTGCCCAAAGAAAAGAAGCTGCCAGAACATATGCTATAAAGAGTGCAAGTGGGGAAATGCCCATCTTTAGCACATTTTGTTTTGTGAACTTATATTCTGCATTTCAAATGGCAGGCTTTCTTTAAGCCACTTGCAGATTTTACAAAGAAATACTGTAGGGAGACGAGAACTCCCTGCAACATTTCAGCACAAGCGCTCTGCTCCGTACACCTCGCAAGGTTGCAATCTCTCCCAAATAAGCCTTCATCAGACTTACCAGAAGGCTCGTCGGTATTATGTAAGGCAGTGCCACATGTCAGTGGGTGTTGGGAGAGCTCCCTGTCAAAGAATCCCCTCCTCTCTAATACGAATCAAACACAGAACAGGATAGCCTCAAACATTTATCCGAGGCTATGTTGCAACCCTGAGCCCGAGAAGGCTTCTCTTTCTCCGTCCGCGGCAAGAAACGGGGAAAACCTGCTCGTATTCCAAGAATGACGCCTGATCCTCGCTCACGGGGCAAAAAAAAAGGGCATTTTCGTACTGCGCTGCAAGGCAGGAAGGGCTGCTTCTGGTTGGCGCTTGCAGCCGCGTCCCATATCTGGAAGGGCCGCTTCGCTACCTAAGCTTCCCGCTCCCTCCCTCTATTAACGGCAGCAGCAAGGAGGGTCACTCACGGGAAAGCTTTGTTCGGGGAATAAAGGCCCAAAGATCCCCTTCCCTGCGGAAGGTCGAAACAACTCAATCGCCACCCGTTCTGCTCCACGGTTTGTTCGATTCGCGGCGCGTGGAATCCGAGGCAAAAATTAATCGCGCCGTCTCGTTTCTAGAGCGAAGCAGCACTTGGGGAGCTCCAAAGAGGAGCAGCCCAAAACCTGAGCTAGTTTTAAAAAAGAACAACAACAACAACTGCCAACTCGTGACAAGGGCTTTCTTAACTTTGTGCAAACCCCCCCCCCCCACGCCGAGGGTTCAGTCGGCTGCCGAGGCCGCTCGCTTTTGCAAAACAACTCCGAGCCGCTCTGCTGTCACTCACTCGGCGCCTGCTCTGCCTTGTTCTATATTTGCATAGTCAACGCAAGCCAACCCTCTCTCTCTCTCTCTCTCTCCTCGTAAACTTTCTCCTGCAACTTGCTCTGCTTGGAGGGGAGCAAGAGCAGAAAGGAGCACAACCAAAGTCCGGATTAAGCTACCTGCTGCAGAAGTCCACGGCACCGAAGAGCGGCCACAACCCCAATCCAGCGCGGAAGGACGTGCTCACCTCACCAGTCCAGACGGGGGGCAAAGACGCCGCCGCCGCCGCCGCCGTCAACCAGCCAAACCAAGCCAGCGCCAACTTCGCCTCTTGCGGTAGGATTCTGGGAAGGCGTCACTTCCTAGAGTGGTAGATTCCGAAACCAGCCTTTTTGCAAGTCGGTGCCACCTCCTCGCGGTGCCCGGTTCCTCTGTCTCGACCGGTCGCGTGAGAAGGTACAGGACTTATTAAAATGGTGGGCGGTGATTATCGGGAAAAGGAAGGACGCGTTCGTATTGGCAGCTCTTGGGATTCCTTGAACTCAGTTCAGCATACCTGAAGCGCACTTTAGTCTTGAACGACGACTCCAGCTTTGCACCAGTTCTGTTAAAACTTGGCGCTCGCGAGCGCCCCAGACGAGCCCAGTTCCTTGGCACTAGAGACAGACAGTCCTACAAGCACTGGCCTCCTTCCTTTCAGTTTTGATCAAGATAATTAATTTAAAAAAGTTGCTGCCTTTCTGCAATTCAAATCCGGCTGAGTCATTTGCTGCATGCTGCCTAATGAGTTCTTCCTCAACCTTAACGCTCTCTAGGAGTGTTGGAAATAATCATAGCCAGAAATTTAGGGGTGGTCTAGAGCAGGGCTTTTCAACCTTTTCACCCATTGTACCACTTTTAGGATATGGCAATATCCGAGTACCACCAGTCGCCTAGCAAGGTGTCAAAAACTTGATGACCCAAAAAAAAAAAAAAAAGGGAAAAAGTGATAAAGTACAGGTAGTCCTCGACTTACAACAGTTCTCTTAGTGACTGTTCGAAGTTACAATGGCACTGAAAGCCCCCAAGCCACAGCCGAGCAAGACACCTGTCTGCCCACCCAACGGCGCTCTTCCTCCTGTCCAAGGTTTTCATTGTTGTGAGCATTTCTGTTGAGGATTGGCAGTGGGGGTGGGGTGGGGGGTGTTTGGTTTTTATTCCCCCCGTCTGCTGGGTGGTTGCAGCAGGGTTTGGTCACTTCACATGACCCTGGGACACTGTGACCGTCATATATATGAATCAGTTGCCAAGCATCTGAATGTAAATCACAAGACCCTGGAGATGCTACAACATTCCAGCTGATCGGCGCTTCTTCTGGGCTCAGCTGGAGCCTGGCGCTGATCCTGGCACTTCCGCTGAGCCCTGACAGCCCTGCAGCTCCAGCCATCTCTTGCTCAGGCTTGTGCGGTGCTGCCACCGGTTCAGCTCATTCCCCTCCCCCGCTACCACTTTTCTAGGATGGTCGCGTACCACCTGCCAGGTGCCAATGTACCACAGGTGGTACCCGTACCATTGGTTGAAAAGCCCTGGTCTAGAGTCTAGACCCAACATCTGGAAGGTGCCAGGTTGGAGAAGTTTGGCCTAATATTAGACCCCACCTGATGTCACTTCTCTGCATTAGATTTCCTGTGCTTTTGATTTGTTTTTGTGCTGTGTGTTCCTGTCAGGATCCTGTATTCTTGCAGGCAAAGAGACAGGCTGTAGATATAGTGCACATATTAGCCTAATGTGCTGTGCAGATCAGTCATATAAATTTAATTTATGGTATGTCTGTTGTGTGAACCAAGAACATTTGGATGAGTTGATCATGTGTGTGTGAATATAGCTAAGAAATACTGCCTACTTTTCCATATCTTTCCCACCAGTTTTCAAAATGAGGGAGCCAGAATGACTATCCATAACCTGACATGTCCTTTCTCTGGCTGTGTTCATAGAACAACCCTTATTTAACCAAAACATTGTTTCTAGAATTAACAATGGGTTCACACATTACACCATATAATTTATGTAACTGGTTTGTTTAGCAACAATTGATTAGATTCATGAAATCATCAAGCCCAAAAATCTCATTGCCGTAGCTAATATGACACACAATGCTGTGTTAACTTGTGTGTCCTGGGCAAATTCTCCAGCACCTTGACAGTTGGTTTTTCCCTCCCTGAGCAGATCTAGAACCTTGTCCCAGCTGTTAATGCTTCTTGCAAACCTCCCTGCTTAGACATCTATTTACCTGCTGCCTTGTGTGAACCAACCTCTCTTTCCAAAGTAGTGGATGTGAATAGCAGAGGAGGATATGATTCTTTATTGATAGGAAGGGTCAAGAATAGGGCAATTGCTTATAGTACTGAGCCCAAAGGATTAGGATACAATGATAACATACTGTGAGTTGTGCTGTCATTTTGTGTGTAGGAGAATGCTGGAACATGTTGTATTTGAGCTGTGTCCGTTAGCTGTTTCCCAATAGAGTTTATATATTGGCATAGTTGGCTTCTTTGTCTCTGTTTAGTGCCATTTTTTGGACTGGGTTAGTCTCAGTGGATAAAACAGGTGACAGCTGTTCCATTTACATAGCAAGAGCAAAACTTTTTCCCAGCCCTCAGAGATGTCATTGCAATATAGGGTTCCTTTCTAATCGAAAATAATAATATTGTATACTCTTCTGCAAAGGCAGCTGCAGAAATGACTAGATGGTTTACTATAATAAAATACATTGTTCTGGTATATTTTACACATGGGAAAAGTCAATAAAAAGGAAGATAGAGTAAGAAATAGTTGGATAGCACACTAGCTTGGAAGAACAGAAATTTATAAAATATATTGTAAAACTTTTTTTTCCTCTAACATGATAATCTGGCACTAGATCAGTGTTTCTCAACCCTGGCACAATTTTAAGATATGTGGATTGGCTTGGGAATCCTGGGAGTTGAAATCCACACATTTTAAAGTTGCCAGGGTTAAGAAACATTATATTATTTGGTCTTAGTGTCAGACAACGAAGATATATGATCAGAAATATCAAATTAGCTTGCCTGAGGCCAAAACTGCATAGCAAAAGACTACAAGTAGAATTACTGCCTTTATGTTCCGCACAGTAGAGTAATTATGTACTCTGAGCAGGATTCGTGAGTCTATAGTGTGACTCTATCCATGTTGAATTAGAAGCTATTCTCACCAGAGTGCCTTAAATAACCACTTATTGTGTTTGTGTATGCATTTTTTCATTATTGGTCTTCTGAAAGCTTTAGCTGTTCTAGAGGGTAATGAATTCTGCCTAATATATTGTGTCAATGTTTGTGTTAGTTTGATGTTAGGCTTTTTATGACATTTCATGTTTTCAAGATACAAATTCCTGGAAATTGTTTTTGTGTTTGGCAGGATAAATAGATCAATAGTATTTAGATATGATAACTTCCATTCCAGTTTTGACAGGCAAGGTTTAAAATGCATGCATACATTTTAAAAATGTTGACCCTAGTCGTACTTCTTTTGGGTAAGCCTTCTGTAATGGGAATCCTGCTGTCCCAACCAATCTCCAACGTAATGCCTCTTTGCCTCCATCATGAGCAGCATGTGAAGAGCAGCTCTGTCAAGCTCTTAAGTTGCAAGCATAACGATATCCAAGTAGGCTTCAATAGAAAATGAATGATTTACGTATTTTTATTAGAAGTTTAAAAGCATAACAAATGCTAATAATAATCTAGCTTTATCAAACTCTGAAAATCCTAGTTCCTTAAAGATAGCATCAGCATCTACAATGAAGAACTTTATGAAAATAATCACTACTTGGCCATGAGAAAAACACCACACGGATAAATTAATAAGCAGACATATATACACACTTAAATGTTGATGATATTTATTTAAGTCTAAGAACAGACAAGAGAAGATTTGGTTACTATCGGTCATGTTGGTGACATGGATTCTTGCAGAGCTCTTTAGCTGTTGGCTTTTCATTCCTTACATTTGTTCTTCTCACAACCCATATTGGGGTTTTTTCTTTCACTGCTGCAGCTGTTGTTGCTATGCTGTCTATACTGTTGCTATGATTTGTAAGACTTCTGCATTTGCTAGATCATGGTTGTCTCAGATTAACAGTGATATCATTCATTCTCCTTGTAGTCTCCTCTCTCCAGTTTCTAAATAAATGAGAACAGTTTAATAAGGAATAGTTTCTGGGACCTAATACTAGGCTGTAGGAGTTACCATTTTTACAAGGGTCAGATATCTGAATGAGTTTGTAACACCTTTCCAACCAATACACTGTATTAAAAATGTAAGTTATGCTCATAACTGTTTACATCTTAATGTGTTGGAAATGGTATTATCAGACTCCTTCTGATTTAAGGCCACGATAGACGAACACAGCTTTTCTCCTACAATGTCTATAATAGGGGGAAATTATAGCTACTCATATCTGAAGAAGAAAATATTGATTGATTAATTGATTGACTATGTGTCATCAAGTCAGTGTCGATTCTTACCCAATATGTAGATAGATTTTCTCCAGGAGCTTCATTACCCAACCTTCAGGGTTTCCAGCAGTACTGTAATTGAGTCAATCTGCCTTGAGGTTGGTTATCCTGTTCTCTTTTCCAGCATTATGAAATTTTCCAGAGAATTGGGTCTTTAGGTAATATGTCCAGAGTATGATAATTAATACATGCTTACGTGATAATTTGGAATGAAAATTAAAATACCTGTAAGCTAAGACCAGTTGGACTTAATTAATATTTTATGGGAGACCACAAGGAAACTAGGGCTGTAGATCAGACTGCTGAAAACAGATCCAAAGATCCCTGAAGAAGGCAATGGCAAGCAACACTGTTATCAAGAAAACTGCACAAATTATATCTATACAATCAGACTTAACTTAGCTGTATATGGGCAAAAATAAGTCAGTAGCACTCTTACCTACAATGTGCAATATTGCTGCTTGTCAGCCCTTCACAGTAGACTAGACTAAAAAACCAAAGTTATGAATGCTAATATCAGTTTTATTATAAGGTTACAATAAGAGAATCTTTAAAATCTAAAGATATTTTCTCCCCTCCCTTTATTTTTCTGAGAACTAGAAAGGGGTCAAGTCAAATTACATTTCTTCCTCAGACTCAAATTTCTTTTATCAAATCAGTGTCTTCGATGCAGTTCTTCTTTTGTTCTCAAAGTCATTCCTATTACCCATTACATTTCTATGTTCACACAGCCCACTTACAGTGATTAACTGAACTGTTTTTTTCTGTTTCTGAATTCACGTGAAACCTTCATCTGTAAATTAATTGCATGGATTTGGTTTGCCC